GGGGGGGGGAGACCGTTTTTCTATGATAGTTCAGAACCCCCCCCCCCTCCTCCCCCCATCCAAAGAAAGTCTACCCTCCCTCCATCGAAATTGAATATATATAGAATATATACACTTTTACCATTGTTCGGATCCCCCCCCCCCCCGAAAATACCAAGCCCCCACCCCAACCGGAGAAAAAAGTCTGAAAGAAACACTGCTAATAGCTTTGAAGAGACACCACAAACGAAGGCCTGTATTTGTATTTTTATATCATTAATGTAATGCAACAACAGATTAAAATTTAATTCCCAATCCAAATTCAATGAATAATGAAACAAGCTAGCTTGGATAATATATTAGATGATTGTGTTTTTTCAGGCATCTCTTGGGGGGGGGGGAGGAGGAGGAGGGTGGGACAGCACCACACCAGAAGCACTTCTACTGCCCCCTCCAACGACATAGATTTAGAAAATGTATACTTTTACCAGTGCCCGACCCTTTCCCCCAGAATATTTAGTACCCCCCGTCCTCAGAAAATTGCAAATTCCCCCCCCCCCCCACCCCCGAAAAAAAAAAGTTCCATACATCAAGGTTTAAAAGCATCAAATATCACAAGCATTAACTGCATTAAAGTGCTCATAGCTTAAGTAAGGTATTACAATAATCCTTCAATCCAGGATTAAACGCAGTAGGAGCTTGAAGAAAATAACTCCACGTTAGGCCATTATTTTACGTCAACAGCGGTACAAGCTTAAGCTGAAGACCACCTACAGTACAACAACCTGCTCAAGAGATGAGTGGGTGGGGGGGGGGGCAGAAGAGATGCCTGAAAGAAACAGTGTGGGCGATTAGGTTACATTATTTTACAACTAGTTGGACTATTTTTCTCGGGCCGATGAGGCTCGTTAGCTGGGGACAGCCACTCGTCTCGGAGAGACAACTCCAAAATCAAACAACTGCTGCCTTGTAGTTTGTTTTTTGATTGGACAAAGGCTATGGAAACAAATCCAAAAAGAAAAGCAGGCTGAAATCGGAGTCAATGGCCTCAATGGCGCATAACCAGTTGACACGTATCCTTAATTGTGGTGGAGGGGGATCCCTTCTAACACTAAAATTAAGAAGAAGGACTATTTTTTAAAACGTAACCTCCATTTCGTTTTGGTACATTGTGGTCCTCCAGCTTGAAGTAGTCCGTGAAGAAATCACTACGACCAGAGTAGTTTATATGGGCTATAAATAGACATAGAAAAGCTGACATTAAGAGAGAAAACAATACCCAGATCTTCATGAGCGTTAACTGCCACATTAAAACTTTTACGACCAAAGCAATTTCTATTTCAATTTTATTAGTGGCGAACAGTTGACTTACTTGACTTAGTCTTCTTTGCTCCTTATGGAAAATAGGGCCTCCACCATTTCCTTCCATTTCATCCAGAGGCGTAGCGGAGGGGGGGGGATATGTACCCGGGCGCCGACCTTAGGGGGCACCAAAATGAGTTGGAAAAACAAATTGAAAGATTGAGGGGGGTGCAAATCGAAAGTGTGAGGGGGGTGTGCAAATCGAAAGTGTGAGGGGGGGTGCAAATCGAAAGTTTGAGGGGGGGGGGGAGTGCAAACCAAACTTTTGTCCCCGGGCGCTGGGAAGGGTCGCTACGCCTCTGATTTCATCCGATCCCCGGCTACTAATTTTGCCCTCTCCCAAGACATCCCTGTTGGCTTCAGTTCTTCAAGAAGACTCCGCCTCCAGGTCTGTCTTGGGCGCCCTCTCTTCCGCTTTCCCTGGGGGTTCCACTCAAGCGCTTGGCGTGTAACATTTGGGTGAGCCTTTCACAGCGTGTGTCCCACCCAGCGCCACTTCTTCCTTCTTATTTGCACACCCATAGGCTCCTGCCTAGCTTTCCTCCATAGCTTTGCCCCATACCTGTTCAAAAAGGCGAACAGTTGGTCGGGATGATTTAAGGGGGAAGGCTCCGGTAAAAAAAACTTTTTTAATACTCGTTAGAAAACAGTTATTTCTTTACAGCTTTATTAAGATACACCCGCATATGCATTTCCACTAAAAAAATTTTTTGAAAAAATCTTGGTAACTATGACAACGGCGGCCATCTTGAAAAATTAACCCCTTCGTAGGTTTTCCACCATTCACAAAATATTACATTTTAAGTCCAATAAACAATCAATTCATAATCTTCTTCCAAAACACTTAACTTTGGGGAATTTTGGGGCATTAAAACTAGTGTTTTGAACGGACACAAATTTTGAAAATTCATAAAAAATTAATTTGAAGATATGCACTTAAAATTTTTAGCTGATTACCCCAAAATATGGAAGAAGATTATGAATTGATTGTTTATTGGGCTTAAAATGTAATATTTTGTGAATGGTGGAAAACCTACGAAGGGGTTAATTTTTCAAGATGGCCGCCGTTGTCATAGTTACCAAGATTTTTTCAAAATTTTTTTTTAGTGGAAATGCATATGCGGGTGTATCTTAATAAAGCTGTAAAGAAATAACTGTTTTCTAACGAGTATTAAAAAAGTTTTTTTTACCGGAGCCTTCCCCCTTAAGGCATACAAAGTTTATATTGCCTGCTGTCTTCTCGTTTTCGTTCTACGCCAGATCTGACGAGATTATACCATCTCCACCAGCCTAGAATTTTTTTGTTTACGTCCATCTTCGTGGAATGTCAGTTACTTCTTCTTCCATGTCGCTCAAACTTCTTTGCCGTGTTTAATAAATCTAGTCGTGGTTTACTAATAAGATAAGAAAACAGTTGTATAGTAAATGTCAAAACTTAAAAATACATACTTTTAGGGATGCTTGAGTTGGAGACGACTATTCTTGGTTTCCCAAAATTATTCAGATACCGGAGTATAGTTGGTGAGATACTATATTTTGAAAACTAAAGATTTATTGTGTAAAATACATTTTATTCTGTAAATCAGCTAAATATCTTACGATTTGATCACATTAAATGATGTGAAATATTCTACGGCATCGGCCAGGTGAAAGACACGCAACTTTGAACGTGAAATTTACTCTGAATTATTAGTAAATAAAACGTGTAGCCAACCCCGAAACACCTGTGCATATATCATGTAGCTAACCATAAAACGCCTCTACATATAACTTGTAGCCAGCCCTGAACACATGCAATAACATGTAGCCAACACTAAAACACCTGTATACAGTGTTTCTTCCAGACTTTTTTCTCAGTTGGGGGGGGGGGGGGGGCACTTGAAATTTTCGGGGGTGGGGGCGATAGACTTTCTTCGGGGGGGGGGGGGGCGGACACAGTTAAAAGTATATATTGTCTAAATAAATTTCATTTCGTTCGGGGGGTGGGGGGCGGTACTTTCTTCGGGGGGGGGGGCGGTGCCACCCCGAAGAGATGCCTGTAAGAAACTCTGCCTGTACATATAACATGAAGCTTACACTGAAACACCGGTACATATAAAGTGTGGCCAACACTGAAACACCGGTACATATAAAGTGTCGCCAACACTGAAACACCGGTACATATAAAGTGTGGCCAACACTGAAACACCGGTACATATAAAGTGTGGCCAACACTGAAACACCGGTACATATAAAGTGTGGCCAACACTGAAACACCGGTACATATAAAGTGTGGCCAACACTGAAACACCGGTACATATAAAGTGTGGCCAACACTGAAACACCGGTACATATAAAGTGTCGCCAACACTGAAACACCGGTACATATAAAGTGTGGCCAACACTGAAACACCGGTACATATAACAAGCAGCCAACCCTAAAATACCTGTGGGGTCGGTAAAGCTCATGGCTGCTAATCCGAAAAGTCCCGAGTTCGACCCCCCCCCCCCCCCCGGGCAGATAAGGTTCGACAGCTGGGGACATCTATGAGAGAAAACTCCAAAATCAAACAACTGCTGCCTTGTAATTTGCTTTTTGATGACAGAGGCTATGGAAGCAAATCAAGAAAGAAATATAGGCTGAAATCTGAGTCAACAGCCTACATGGCATATAAGTATAACAAGTTGACTTGATTGTGTTGGAGGAAAATCTCGTTCAATATTGCAAGTAGGAACGTAGCAGAAGAAGGTGTACACAATCCGTTTATTCAGATGTTAATCAAAACTCTAACCTTGTTGAAATAATACAACTTTTTAAAAACTTTTTTTTTATCGAAGTATGAAGGAAACATACTCGGAGAGTGTGACCAGTATTTTCTTTTTCTCTCAGGCTAACGCTGTTGTTTCATATTGATTTGCTGTGTAATGCTAGAAAATGTTTTCATTATTTTTAGATTTTAAAAAAAATGTAACGAGGATAAAACAGAATAAGCATTATTGGCTGCTACAAAATGAAAGGATTTGTTTAATCAAGAACAGCCTGGTAGTCTAATGTTTAGCCAACAGCAAAATGATAACATAATAACTTTTATTTTTACTTAGGGGGTCGTCTATAAATGACGTCACACTCATAGGGGGGGGGGGGGGGGGGGAGGTCCGTAATTTTGTGACGGTGTGTGATGAGGGGAAGTGGTGTTCAAATGGTGTTACATCACAATTTTGCATTATAAAAAAGCAATGTTAGAAAATGAGTTTTAACTGTTATTTCGCGTTTTAGAAAACTGTTTAAGTTTAAATTAATTTGAAATAAGAATTGATTAAAATACTCTACGTCTGCCTATGTTGACAGAATTCAGAGCCCCCCCCCCCCCGGCCCCGAATTGATGCCTGGAAGAAGTGCTGGTTGTAGGCTGAGGTGTGACATCATTTTAGAGGGGAGGGGGTGGGTCTGCTTTTTGTGACGATGTGTGACGGAGGGAGGGGGTGGGGTGAAAATTGTCAAAAAAGCGTGACGTCAATTATCGATGACCCCCTAACTTTCAAATTCGAGAAAAACTTAATTATAGAAAGATGGGCGGGAAGACAGAACTTGAACTTTTATTCATGAAGGTGGGTCAAAAACAGATAAGATGCTAGCATAATGTTAGCTATTTAGGAAGCTTAAAAGTTCATAAAGTTCA